CTTTCAGCGTTTGTAAAAAGGACAGCCAAATAATGGTTACAGAAATAAGACTGCAGAATTTAATGAACTGTTTAAACTGTTTTCTTTTCTTACAGAGTCTGTCTCCACTGCCAGAGAGCTTGAATGACCTGGAAGTGTACACAAACAGTTAGAAACTGAAATCCATTTTTCTAATTATTTTCAGTCTATCTCCACTTGTTCCACAAAATATTGACATTAATTTACAACAAAAAAATGCATTCCTTTCAGAGAAAAATCAAGTTGAAAGCAAGACATTCGGTCCTTCTGCTAGAAGACTGTTATTCACTGTAAGTCACAATAGTAAGAATTCAGTGAAGGTAAGCGAGAGGATGGGTGTGGACCTGCTAGGCAAATATTGGCTGAACTCTGCCTACCCTGGCTAATGTCAGACCAACTCCAGTAGCTGAGGCTAACTGCTTTTGAACATTCTTTCAAGAACCTATCAATTTGTCTATCAGACAAGTTTACTCTGAACCACTGAAGGAAGCAGGAAAGCGTAAGGAATCTGCCACTGGAAGTTTTACCTTACAAGAATTTTGATAGGGAAATCTAAGACACATTTTAGCCTAGTATATGTTGAGTAATAACTAATTCAGAAATTTGCTTCCTGATACCACCTTTTGGCTTGCCCTCTAACAAGAGTTCAGTTGACTTTGGGAGAAAATGTAGCAAGAAAGCCATAATCTCAATCACAAAACAGCTCTCCATCCCAGACACCCTCCCCAACAAAAGGCTCAACGGCAGACTGGCCTAGGTGGCCAAATTCAGCAGCAAGGAAAACCACAGCTCATTTCCTTAGCCAATATGATGCCAAAAGGAAAATTCTGTGGGTTTAGTAAGCAAGAAATAATTTACTAACCATATAAAAGCTGGAAAAATGTAATAAAATATTAGTTTTTTCATCTTAGCCAACTAAACCCTTAAAACTGTTCCCATTTATTTAATTTGAAGTATTGTTTGTGGTTTGCAACCCTTTGAAACAGTCCAAAGCTTGTAAAGATTAAGAAGTGGAAAAGAATCCCTAAGTCAGGTTATAAAAGTTTTTGGACTTTATGAAGTTCCAATAAATTCAGTTACCTTCTGGTCCTCCGTCCTGAAGCAATTCTTAACATAGTTGGCAAATTTGGGTTCCAGCTTAGGAAGGGTAGTACCCTATTTTGAAAAAAGCGAGCTTTAGCGTATGCAGGTCATTTAATAGTTCCAATAAATAACTCAAAGCTTGAATCCTTTCGCAATACACATGGTATTTTACTGAACTCACCTTGCAACATCCCAAACCAATCTGCTTTTAAACCACTTTTGATGTTTGCTTCTCTACAGTACCCAGGTATTTCTTACAGGAGGGCCTACACAGTAAGATGTCTGTACAAGAATTTTGCTCATGCTCAAAAACATAACAGCAAGCATTCAACACTTAAGATACGGATGTGGACTACAAACAAGTTATGCTATTCAGATAAGCTAAGCTAACTCTGTATTCATGGATTCCTAGTACAGCATGCGACTTGAGACATTACTGTCTTTCATAGGTCAGTAACTCATCTCCCACCTACCCTAAAGACTCATTCCAATATCTTAGTTCTATGAATCTAAAGAACTGTTCTAGAAGTGTCTGCTTGTGCCTCTGAAATTACCTTTGTACATGCTCAAATGCACAAAGCAGATCAGGTAATTCATGGATCTACGTTTATTTTCATGTCTCCTCCTATCTCCAGGCAAAACACAGCACACTGTTTTAAGAACCTTTGATTTACTTTCACATGCCCCATGAGTGACAGTTTTTCCCATTTTTCAGGTACATCAGTTGAAATCTACCTAACCAGTCCTGATGGTACATTCAGCTGCTACTCAGCACACTGCAGAAGACAGCAATTACACGTTCAAAGGAAGCCAGTCTACATAAGGAACACTTGAAACTGCAATACTGCAACCAAAAAGCTTGGAATTTGACACCTTACTTCTAGATTCTGTCCAGTACTGATGCTTTTCTATTAGCTTGCTGACAACTATCTAACTATATCTAACACAGCAGTCCACTCTAATAATTTAGTAAGATTTTACCTGCCTGCTACTCCTACATATTTGTGCTTATTCAGCACTTTGCAATAAAAGCGCTCTTCAGCAACAGAAATATACTCTAAAGCTACTGGCAAGTTACCTGGTCTGCATGCTTCCCTCCATAGGGACATGTCTACTGTGAGGAGCAGCTAAGGCACTTACGCTTACACTGCAGAAACACCATCATGGCTCCCTCGAGTCATGCCAAAAACCCTAGCACCCACTATATCCAAGAGGTTAGTTTGACCTAGCAAAATGATACCAACCATCACTGTCAGGTTCACAATTAGTGATACACATTTTGATCCTGATCGTAAATTGCCGTTGCTCATTCTGCATCCCCTCTATATTGAAACACTGTTTTATTTTGCATTCCTGGGACAAAACTGCCTCAAACACCAAGAATCTAAGCAGAGGACAATCCCAAGCCTTTAGATGACTTGACTGCCAGTGTAAGGGGGGAAAAGTTTAGCATTTCAGACCAGAGTAAAAAACACAGAATTCTTTATAGCACCAACATCAGCGTAGGCTTTAGCCAAATTTAAGTCCCCAGTTAAGAAACTGGGTCAGTCAAATTAACATATGACCTGTAAGAACACTCCTGAGCTAGTGATGTAAAACCAGAACTCCACATAGTCTATGTTACTACCACCTATTCTGCAGCACAGGTGTTCACTGAACTGCACCCCTAGCTAGCACACAGCTTCCCAAACTTGGCTAAGGGGAAACCTGCTGTTATCTGCTACACTTTCACCCAACCAGCGTATAACTAAAATGCGTTTTTTGTCATATTTAAATAGCAGCTGAGAATACTCATATGTTTACCATGCTAGTCAAAGCTGATGGCAACTAGAAGCTGAGTGACTGCCTTGTGACCTTCAAAAGATGAAACATTCATTGAGGGGGGGCTTAATTAACCCTATATCCCCAGTTCAGAAAGCAACTGATTTCAGGTCTTCATTGATTCATTAATGCATATCACAAGCACCTATCTCCCCCTTCTGGAAGTCTCAAAGCCTTACAACCATCTGGATATTCAAGTTGGATACTTATTTAAAAGCAAGCAATTCCAAGCACATGAAGAACTCTTACTCTAGTTGCCTAAAATAAAATGTGCACACTAGTTAAGACAACTTTAGCATAAATACCATTTAAAGTTTGGGATTTTTTGTTGTTGTTGTGGTGAGGTTCTTTTAAGTTTTATCTGAGACAGTTTAAGAAATATCAAGTTACTGAGCACCACTTCTGGAGGAATACGAAAAGGTCGTTTTGTTTCTCACAAGTACAGGGCCTTCTTTTAGTCCCAAATAAGTTTTCATTTCTCCAAGTTTCAACATCAACATACTCTGGTAACAACACAGTAACATGGGATCATTTCTTAAAAACATCCAGTTTTTCTGATCTGCAGACGTGTTAAAGGCTGACAAATCTGAAGTTTCAAAAAACTCACCTTATCTACAGATGCTTGCATTTTTGCTTTTATCTCCTCTAACGACAGAGGGACTTTTGGAGTTTTTGGAGTCAGAGTTTTATCCTTCTTGGAATCTGGAGTCTGAAAATTATTCATTTCGTTAGGAACTTGCACACACATAAAACTGCTTAGTATACAAGATTGAGTTTTCTAAGAACAAGAATGTTAAAACTTACTGTAGAATTTCTATGGAATAAAAGTAGCAGCTATCACAAATACTCCAGATAGTTTTCGGAAAGTCACAGAAGTTAAATTTGTGCTTCTAGCACATTCCTCAGAGACAAGCAAAAGAACTACATTCAAGTTTGGAGTTACCGCAGTTAGCACAGCTAGTATCTTGGGCTTCTGGGCAGGAATGGCCCAGACATTCAGTGGTTTAGTTTACTCCACAACTACAGCCAGTTGCTTTAAAAAGGCATTTATCTGCACTGCTTTGCAGACACTATTCTGCCATCATTCATACTACACTAATTTCTCTATCAAACTTCCCTGCATGCATATTCAAGGGCATACAGCAAGTAAAAGCTGCATAAGGAAGCTTGAGAACTGCAAAGCAACAGAACAAGAACTGTTAGGTCCCAAATGAATCAGTTAAGCAACACTCTCCTATTAGCAGCAGCCGCCTCCTCTTGTACTGCAGTAGCAACCCAGTTAGCACTCACCTTTTGATTGAGCAGCTACACAAAAAAAATATATAGTTTGATTTTTTTAACCATGGGATTACCAATACTCAAGGGGCAGTGTGTCTGATTTCCAGTCTTGGCTGTTGTAGTTATATATTGATCACTAAGGAGTTTCATAGGGGAACATGAAGCAATGAACAGTATCCCTATTAAGATTCAAAAACCTAACTTAATGGTTAGTACGTTATTTAAAGGTACTATTAGGCAAGGAAACTAGCTTCCACAGTAGAATAAACATTTGTTTTACTCATTTGTCTTCACTTACTTTTGATTTAGATGCTGGTGTGGATGGCTTAGAGTCTTTTCCATTTTGCTTTGCTTTCTGCATGTTTTTTCCTGAAGCCTCACGGACAGGCTGAAAAAAAAGCACTTAAGTTTACTTGCCATGAAAAACTGCTAGTAACTGTTAAGCTTGTTAACTTAATACTCAAAACTCTGTGACAACTACATAATATTTAACCTCAAGGGAAAAAAAGCATTCTTATTCCCCATGCAACATGATCAGCATCCATCATTTAAGCAAAAAGCATTATCTGCTACAGGAACTCAAATGAAAAGTTACGATGCAGCACAATACATAACAATCAAGTTTTGTTATGATGACATAAAACTATGTGGGACCTCGACTACATTCTACTTACACATTAAGTTTTTCTTTATGTATTACCCTGCAGACTTTTGTGGGGCAGATATTGCGTAAGATTAATTCTAGATGGCACTGCAATTCCAAGATCTGACTCAGTGCTACCTTTTTTTGGTAACACAACCATTACCTCTTTTTTGGCATTTTATACAGAAACACCATCTGGGATGGGCATGGGCAATGCCAGATGCATACTGAAGAACTGGATACCTATATAAGGGACCATTTCATTCAACCACATTGGATTTTATTACATGGCAGCAAACCTGCAGTTCAAATTGCCTTCATCAGAACTGAAACTACTGCGCACTAGCACCTATAGAAATTCATTAGGACACAGCAGCATACAGTGAAATAAAACATTAACCCTTTGATTCTAAACAGCAAATATGTAAATATAAACTCAAGTCAAAGTACAGAAGTTCAAAAAAATCACTACCTTCTACCTCTGCAGCTGCCAAGTTCCCTTAGTTTATTTTACCACCAGATGGCACTCAAGGGCTGACGTAATTTTGCACACAAGCATTTGTCTGCCTGAAGTGAACCTTTTCCAATGGGCTCACGTATTTAATTTTTTTTTATTGAAAGCTGGGTTGCTAAAAAGACCTTTTTCAGAGCATGCAGGGCTAGCTGAAATGACAAAACACAACCCACATCTTTGTTTGCTCCCATGCATGAAATCACACCAGTCTGACAAATGCCCATGTTAAGAACCCAGCCACCACTATTCAGCAAAGTGAATAAAACGTGACTGGATGTGCATTCACACCGAAGTGTTCTGATGCCCTATTACAATTTCTTTATACAGACTAAGCTAAATCAAAAGCATCCCATTCACACATTCCAAACGCTTAAACCCACTGATTTAAAGGCCTATCTGCCCAATTACTGTCATCCCTTGTATTAATACCTAATCCATTATAAAGCAGAACACTGAACAAAGAGGCCACTTCAATCAGCTTCCGCATTACAATAAATGCGGAGTTCAAACCTTAACAGCTATATCATTTATGTAAACACAGCTTCCCCTTGCCTTCTGCATCAGGGGTCTTCATATGAACCCTCAAAGATGACAAAATCAGGACAGTTAATTAACATCTATTAGTAAGGTGGTAGCACTTGCTCCCCCTGTCTGAATAAACTTAGCTGCAAATTTTAAGTCCATCTGGTGTTATCATTCACTTCCTTTCATTAAGCAGGCAGTTTCATCTTTTTGGACTTAAGAGGGTCACAGTGTATATGTATATATGTGTGTGTGTATATATATAGATAGATATAGATATATGCCATTTACCTTCTTAACTGGTGTTTTAATTTCCTCCTCATCATCCTCTAAGTCATCCTCATCACTACAATTAGAAAGGTAGCCGCTGTAACTCAAGATTCATACTCACAGCTTTAACCACAGTAGAAATTAGTCTTCCCCCTCCCCTCCAATAAAACATTGCAAGTAATCTTCCTAAGTCTACTTTATACCTTGTTTTAACACATGGTAAGGTGTTAAGCCAAATACTTTACTTGCTACTGTTAAAGCAGATAAATGTGTTCCCTGCTGCCCTAATACAGAAGGGCTCTATCTTGGGACTTCCATTACTACTAACAATGAAATTCTAAATTTGTTAGCAGTAAATTAGTTACATGGAACAGTTTTATAGCCCAGTATGTCATATCTGAAAAACACTAATTTAGATTGCATTGTGAAGATAAACTTGAGGTACTCCTGCTTTTTTTGTAGCCAAGATAATGTCACACAAGCATTATTCTGAAACAGTCAACACGATTTCAAAATGTATTATCAAAACAAGAATACATACTCATCATCATCTTCATCGTCATCGTCATCATCCTCATCATCTTCTGATAATTTTGCTTTTTTCTTAAAAAAGATCAAGTATGTGAAGCGTCAATACTATGTCTTAATAAACAGCAATCTTAATCCAAAACAATTTGTGGCATAATTTGTAACTACAAGACTATCTTCCCTCAATTTGGCTACAAATCAAAGTTACAGCTGACAAGCCAAAAGCTATTAAATTTAGAGCATATTAATCTTTCCTTCCATATTACAGAGTTTCAATCAGCATTTAAACTCTTGCAGCACACCAATGTTTATACTGGAACCTGCGCACACTCAGTTACTGTAGTGGACAAAACTACCACAGGAAAGTAGCCTTTGTATTAGCCCCTCCAGCAAAGCTTTGGAAACTATGTGTACTGACCTACACTTCTGTAATTTAGTACTTGTCAGGACTCAAGTACAAAATAATACTCCCTCACATATGTCAACAGACCACATATCAAGTAAACCATAGCAAGCCATTTAACTGCCTACTCCTAGAGGCAGCATTAACACCAAAACAAAAGAAGATTCTGCAGACAAGCAAATTTAAAGTATATTACCTGTGGTGTTTTAGCTCCTCCTCCACTTGCTGGTCTCTTTGTTGAAGTGTTCACAATTTTTGTATCATCTTCCTCATCATCTGATTCTGGTTCTTCCTCTATTGCTGATAAAATGATGGCAACATGTAAAAAACCCACCTCATCTAGCAATATTTGAAACAAGATTGCTAGTAAGAAACAGAAGAGTATGATCCACAACCAAATAGGCAAGGCCCTACTGAAGTGCTGAAATGGTAAGAGGAAGCCTCCTACTAGCAACCTAACCACTGACATCAGAAACTTTCCAGTTGACTGTACACAGATACATTGAAAACCAAAATGGGTGAATAAACCTTGCACACACCGCTTGTAACACTCCTCACAAAAAATAAGACCTAGAAAGTCAAGAACAAAATTTTCTTCACTTCCACAGAGACATTTAAGAGAACTTCTAGAAAGATCAATTTCAAGGGCAATTCTACAAAGGAGAATTAACAAAGAAAAAGAAAAAAGAAAACAAAGAAAGAACAAAAGGCTAGTTAGTCTTGGCTTCGTTTTTAGTGCAAACTCTAAACTAATTAATGGGCCATCTTTGCACTTTCAACTGAAACAGAAAGCTCATAGCTTTGTACAGTGAGCCACTAACACAGCCTCGCACCCATTTTTAAGGAGAGAAAATAGAACTCAAATTGCAAAGCTGACAAACTCTCCTTATCCAGACAAAACAAGAGGCAAGAAAGGCGTGGAACCATTTCTCTGAACTTCCTTGACCTACAACCCCCTCATGCCTCTCAGGACAGGCAACTAAAGAGGGTCAGTACTAGAGAAAGTACTGTCTGAGATACCAGATACACCACCCAACTTACATTGGTGCTGACAGGTAGTAAGATCACAGATTAGTAATCAGAGTAATACATACCCACAAGATGCTGACCACTGACATAAACAGGCCCTGAACCACATTTCAACCTCAAGACCACTGGTGGTGTGATCTCAAAGCCACCTAATGAAACCTAAGGAAAAAAAAAATCATTGTTATTTATTCAAATATTAAGTGTGCTTAACAGACAATCCATTGAAATGAAACCGAAAGAGTGCACCAACATCCATGTACTCTAAGGCTAATATAGTTACTCTAAGTTTTGATTTGACAGAATATTCCAGAAGTATTTACGGTCAAATCAGGGACAATAAGCAACAGGGTTTACTACACTCTTGCTGTTTATACTTAAAGCACGCCTTTCAAAGCCAGATCAATCCACATTTGTTTCTACTCATCTTGGCTGTGATACCAGTTGGAACATGATCCATCACACCTGGCCCCAGCACTGTGCAGCCCCACTTGTACATCTGCAACAGCAATTCAAATTACATTCCAGATGGCAGGAATGACAAGTAGGGTGCTCTTAAATCAAGAAGGGTAGCAATCATTTTTAGAATCTCTTAAGAGCTTGGGACCTGCAAAAAAAGCTGGATTTTTCTCATCCCAGCCTTAAAGAAAGCAACACAGGCTATAGACGCATTTGCTTGCAAATACATACATTAAAATACTGTCACATTTATCTTCTAGTTACTATACAGGCCAAAACTGATATTTGTCTGAATGCACTGACCACTGCAGTTTCACTAAAATTCACAAAACCTTTAACTTGTCTCTCGAGACCTCATTTATAGTAATTTTTCCAAGGCCCTGTACTTACCGTAGGCTGCACTGACATTTTCAGAGATGCCAGTACTACTTTAGTAGGGTTTCCTTCATAGTCCAAAGCTTCTGCTTCTACAACGTGCAATTCGTCTTTGGCTCCAGCCCCTAAAGTAACCTGTGAAGTAAGGTACAGTGCACATTCTGAAAATCTTCCCAAATATTCTCACGTCTTTTAAACTCCATTCACTGTTCTGCATGTCTTAGGACCAAATTTTGCATTTCTGACTGCCAGTGATTCAGTTGCACTCCTCCCCAAGCCAGTACCCTCTTTCTCCATAACGCTGGCACTTGCAAGGTGCACTTTAAGGCATGTGTTTTGATGAGCATGAAAAGTAGACCTTTTGCTACTGGATTATTGCATTGAAATGGGTCAATGACAAATCCAGTCAGCACTGAAGCTGGCCCCAGGGAAGAGGAATACAAGCATGTGCCTAGAGGAAGGGTAACAACTGCTATCACTACTACAGAATTGCAGCCTTTACCCTTCCTGTCATGTTTCATCTGTCAGCTGCTTCACTTTGTCACACTACACACTTTTTCCTTACTTGACATCCAATTGGGAGTTAAGCCTTAACAACCACTCGGTCCAGTATGGTCATTTATGCTTATGCCTTCTGCATTAATTCACCAAGGACTGCTGCTGTCCCAGAGCATTTCAAAATTCAAATGCCTGGATTAAAAGTTTAGCACTTTCTGAAGATTCAAAGATCATAGCTGCAGGGAAGCAAATGAGTGACAAAGGACAGGCCTGAAATTCCAGTACTCTGAACCTCTGGCATCTGAGTCAGGATTACATGCAAGAGATGTGAAAACCAAGAATCCCTTTAAGTACTACAACCACTTAAGATCAGTGCCATTTCCTTTCCTCATGCTCATGAAAGCAAGCTTTCCACCCTCCATGGAAGATACGGGTATGAACACTTCAGGCAGAGGCATACAGCTTAAGTTTCTGCTGAAGCTGAGCTTTAGGAGGCTATAATGATCCAGACTTTATATATCAGACTGAAGGATGAGAAACAACGTAGGATTCACTACGCCTGGCAAGTTTTGTTACTATAAAGAGTTGAAATTGCTGCTCTGATCTCACCTCTCACATGGGTCAGCAGCAGCACTGAATCATTCAGCTAGTGGGAGAAACATCTTTTTTTTCTCCTATTTCTGTACCCCACACCCAAATCCATGGTCGCATCTTAACTGACATGTGCCAGTCCATCTTTATACATCCAGTCTTATCACATGCACTGGGTATTTGCTACTTTCATACTTTACCTTCCATCAACTCTTCCCTTTCCTTGCCAAGACATTTTCTGTTTGTAGTTATGTCTAATATCATCTAAACCTCTTGGACATTTCCAGTTTGTCATTTGTTATTTTAGCCCCCATTTCTCCTGTGTATCATCTTCTGTCTTTAGAAGACAGGTTATTAAATTAGACTTTTTTCCCATAACCCTAAAAACTAGGTGTGCATTCAGTCTGCCTCATCCCCCATGAAGACTGCACAGCTTCAAAAGAGATACTACAAGTAACTTTCCAGAATCAGGATCTTTGGATAAAGTCATACAATTCAAGTATCACTCAGTGACTTTTATCTGCATGACATTCTGATATAAGAACTATTACATGAACTTGTCCTATACATACTTCACCATTATATTCTTCCCTCAAAAGAAATTCTAATTAAGAACAAATTAGTCATTGCTAAGTCTAGGTTGTGATTTTCATAAAATGTAAGGGCTGAAGACATATGATTCACAAATCTGTAATGCCTATATTAAAGTGTTGTAAGTGTCACTGTGAATAAGTTTGTAGAGTGTTATTACACAAGGCTCCTGCGGGAAGCAATTCGGCTGCAGGAAGCAATCCACAATTATGAGTCTTTTGTTTCCAGGTAACCTCAAGGTATCTCTTTGTATTTAAATAAACAGTAACAAACCATAATGTAGAGAGATGTCTGTGAAGCTGGGACATTATCTTTCTGCTAACCAAAAGAACCACCTCAGGTCAGAACGAAGACTCTGAAATACTGTGTCTTGCTTGTGTGGCAGCAGAAAGAGCAAAGGACACTCTCACTGCACAGGATGCCGATTTCCAGGAGTGTCCTGCTGCGGAGGACACTGCTGGAGTCTGTTAGATGAATTATCTGAATGAAAGACAGCATTTCCCACTTACATCCTTAGCAAGGGAAACATTAAGACAGAACATTAAACCCTCCTCACTTAGAGGCATTAGAATCACATTAGGGAATATATGGAAAAGCTCTTTAAAATAAAGTTTTAATAAGTCTACTGAAATGCGCCTATGTACAATTCTTACAAATCTACCCCTGTGCTCCTGTAGCATTTGAACCACTGCGTGATGTCAGAGTGTGTATTTTGAACTTTGATTCCATTTAGCATACATTTATTAACCTATTGTGAACTCATTTTTAAACTTTTTCCAACCTTACATTGTTTGCTGTAAACAACAAAACATCAGTGGATACTGGAAACTTTTTTTTCAATACAGCACATATTTCAAGTGACATGATATGCTCTACTCCCCGTAAGACTTTATTATTTAACATTCACACAAAACCACTTACCACTAAAAGAAACAAGTTTAAGGAAACTAATGTACATAACAAAAAATATTCTCACAACATCGCGCTCACCACGTTTTAAAAATATAAACATAAAAACCAAGCGGTACTTGCCGTTCTCAAAGATAACTGATGCTCATTTTCTTCATCGTCTACCTTGAACTGATACTCCTTATCCGCTTTAAGCTCGCAGCCTGTGAAAAGACCTCTGCATTATAAACGCACCGTTTTATTCAAGACACCGGTATTTGCTAACCACTTAAAAGCTGCTGCTTCAAGGCTCTGCAGTGGCACAAAAAAAAAGCGGCACCCCAGGAGAAACACGTGGGGCTGGGGAAACCCCAGGGGAGCCCGCGGCCTACTGCCGG